TTATAGCTTAATTTTAACCGACTCTTTAATTCAAGCAAGACTTCTCTCTCTCTCTCTCTCTCTCTCTCTCTTAATCAATCCCTTTCTCCTCTCCTAACAATCTAATGATCTTTGTTTAGGCAATGATGGAAGACTAAGTTAAGAAGATGATGGGAGACAAGGTGGAGGACAAGGGACCATGGGGTCACAAGGCCAAAGCACTTAACCCTTACTTTTGCTATTCCTTTTTTGAAGTGGCAAGTGCTTTCGACAATGGAAGCAGAGTAGATATTCATCTTGTGCATGAATGTATTAGTAATATCTAAGGTGCCATGTCCCATATGCATTAAATAAGAATTTTGCCAAAACTACCTTATTTCTAGACAAATTAGCTGGATGGCCAATTTATTGGCTGGCCAGCCAAAAAGTTGTCTAACCGGCCAAAACATGGCTGGCCGCCCAAAATATTAGCCTTGGTTTGACTATTTTGCACGAAATAGAGTTTTTCGATAGAATTATCATCTTATCCTCCTATTTCCATACTGTTTTTTGCTCAATTTTCTAAGAAAATGTTTTATTTTGAAGTTTAAAAATAAGCCTCAAAACACTACAAAAATACTTGAAACAAAATGCGGAAAAAAGTTTTGAAAGAGAGTTTTGAACGAGACTTAAACACTTGGCCAAAACAGGTTTAGGGTTAGGAATAAAGCACAAATTCCATCTTTCTTATTGACAATGCTGTGAGAAACACATTCTTGTTTTCATCATCAGGTAATCAAAAGAAAGCGCTCAAGTCTTCAGGCCAGTTAAAATGGGATGTCTACAGTTATATGCTAGTTACTTACAGATGCCATAAGCAATTATGTAACTTGACAGTTTCATAAAAGTAACCTTACAAACACTTATAGGAAATATAAATATTGTGAAAATAATTATGAAATTCCTATATGGATTGAAATATTAAGCTACAATATCATTCCATTAAAAAAATTAAAAAAAAAACTATTCCACATTTTCTACATAAATGAAAATATACTAATGACTAATGACATATTTTTCATCATGCAAGATATTTGTGGCACAAGAAATGAGACTCAACAACTCTTGATCTATAAAACTATATTACATATTGATATTAATGCATTCTTACACCAATAGTATTCAAATAATATGTACTGCTGGGTTCAATGAATTTGTATTATGAGATGAACTATTAAACAAAATTGTGTAATTGTGCAATTAATTTCAGACATTCAATTGTATTACAGGGATGAATAATGAAAAATTGAAGTGAGAAATTGATAGAAAAAGATTTGTGTAATACTGTATATTTAAAAGACCTGCTTATTGTTTATTGTTTAAGATAAAATTGTGATCTCAACAAACTATCTATAAAATTTCTCATGTATCATTTAAATTCTTCAGTCGAATATGTATTCATTTTTTACTTAGTTGTAATTTCAATACAAATCAATTTACCTATACAAGTCTCCATACTCTGTATAAATATCATATATTAATTTAACAGACACATATAATTACAGTACTAACAGTTAATAAAAAAATCACGTGCCGCGTGAAATGCACGTGCCCAACCATTTGTTTATTTAAAAATCAATCAAGACCAAACTCCTCCCTCATCAGTGTGAATAAATTTATCTAATATTATTCATCTAATAAATGGGCACTAAATTGATGTCTATTGATTTAGTTATTTATTTTTCTAGTTTCCTTAAAATGACATGATCTTTGAGTGACTAAAAAAGGGTTGCATTTCTCTCAAGTTTACATCTCAACTTAAAGAAACTTGCGGACCACTTGAGCCCACACTATAGTCTCATTTGATGATTCGAACCATTCATTTTGTATGACTCTCAATGTATATCATTTATAACAAAATTAATTCAAACCGATAATCTTAATATTTTCATTTTGTCCCATTTATCTTTGAAAAAATGGACGATAAATATATTTTTAAAAATATGCAATTCATTTTTTTAAAGCCAAATATAACAAAATAAAAATATTACGATTATCGGATAGCTTTAATTTTTTTTCATGGATGATATACATTGAAGGTCCTATAAAATAAACGATTCAGAACATTCAAATAAGACTATGATGGGCACCACAAGTGCCTCAAGTAATCTCAATTGATATGTGAATATGAAAAAAAAAAAATCTAACCTAAAGAAAAAATCACAAATAGATCTCATGTATTTACTTAAGAAGAATAAAGAATAAGTTCGAAGACAAACGTACTGGCCAATATTTAGAACTATGGTGCCTGCTGTCACAACCAAGTTTGTTGTCCACTCAATGTGACAGTGTTTTGCTCTTTTTAGTTTTTCATAGTTTTCCTTGAAACGAGTCTTTTCTTTTCTCTTTTCTCTTTTCTCTTTTCTTTTTGGTTTTTGTAGTTTTCCTTGAAACGATTTTACTCATTTCTTCTTCTTCTTTTTTATTTTATTTTTTATTATTTAAAATAACACTTCTAAGTTTACTTTAATGACGTGAATTGATATAAATTATTAATTTATTTGGAAATCAATCAAGATAAAACCCTTATAATATCAGTATATATAGATTTAAAAATAAAATTTTAAAAATCTCAACTCGTGTATTATTTCTCCACTAAATGAGCACAATTAATATTATGTTTATTTGTTTATATATTTTGCTAGTTTTGTTAATATATATGGTGTGACTTTAGAGTAATTGTTATAAAAAAAATCAATAATAATAACAATAATTCGAAGTACATCATCATGTTACCGCCCTACAAAATTGAAATCTATATGTACATATATATATAATGAAAAATAAAAAAACAATGCCCATTTAGTACACATTAATGTAAAGAAAATATTTATTGGCATTTTTTATTTTATTTTTACAAATTCACAAGAGTTGAGATTCCCGATTCGTAGCAATTCGCGACGGGTCGATACTTCTATAAAAGTGGTTAAGAAATTTTCCAACTGCAACACTCGATTCCCAATACGTACTAGTTAATATTACCGATACCGATACTCTACGATTGATACCTTTACGTTATCCGATACCGCAATTTACAACCATGGCAAGCACCCATCCTCCAATACTAAATAGTTATAATTTTAGACTCATAAATTTATTAACAATGATGTGGTAAGAAAATTTAATCTTATAATATGCCTCAGTGTATTACAAATCAAAAATTTACACGCATAGATCAAATTAAGAAAAATTTGTTAAGAATCTCAAACATTTTGCATACCAAAATGAAAAAATAGTGCTAAGTGCGGCATCAGTCTTTACATTTAAGAGTCACTTTTCTGAGAACTTCTCTAGAAACCAATGCTATAAAACCTATCCCACATTTCCATCTCCAGCTAAACCACATCTTCATTTATTCCAACCGACATAGCAGCTGACGAAATGTCGACCGCAATCATGTGAATTTGGAGTTCTGCCACCGTGTCATTGCAGCAGCAGCAGCAGCAGTAGATCCGTTGTAGTGGCAACAGCCCTTTCTTCATTAGCTGCCAACGGCTCTTCCACTACACCACCTTGTGGCATAGTCTAGCCGGTAGCTTGTACACTGTCAGCACCAGGAGGTTAACTAGGGCACATGGGCAACAGCACCACACGGCTGTGCACTCCGCCACCGTCCCCCCCACAACCTCACTGATCGACCATGATGACGACTAATTCGCTTCCACAACTAGCTGTTATCGGTTCACCGACGACATTTCGGACTAAAATATTTGTAGTTTTCAAAATTGTTGTGACTAAAAAAATGTACGGTTTAAAATTTAATTGAATTGTTGTTTGAAGTAGCAGTTTACTTTATCACTCACTCCCTTGGACGAGAAAAGGAAGAAAATTAGTGGATGGACAGGGTGCTGGCTAAGTAAGAAAGACTATTTCTTGCTGTGGTGATGGAGTTTGGAAATACCCTTTGACCCAAGCAGACTTTCTATCATGACCCGAACCAGCCCATATGGATTAAGGTTATAACCGGCCAGTAATCAAGGAATTACCTACGGCCTCAAACCAAATAAAACATATTTCATCAGAGTTGAGGGGCCAAAACGGAAGTAGACTTACAAATTGTCCATAGAGCTGTGCTTATATGGCACATCAAAACATCCCAAAGATATATTCATTAATAACCCACACCAAAAAGGAAATAACTTAAGGTTCCATACACACAGGATCATTCAAGTCTTAGTCAACCAAACCCAAAGCTTATATATACAAAGGTGGTCCAACGTTTTCGCCAATCGTAGAAAAATTATCACAAAAGAACAAAAGGGCAAAAACAAGTCTCGTGCGTAAGACGCTCTAGCTGACTCTCCAAAACTTCGATTGTTTCTCACATACTTCACTGAGGCTGGGTTTGGACATCTCTTGGCTCACCTACAGATACATGAATGAGAGTGAACGAAAGCCCAGTGAATAATATCAAATAAAGAAGATACATGAACGGAATTTGAAACAAATACATCAGACGGCCTTGAGCCCAATTCATGTTTCTATCTAATGCATCAAGCAACTACAGATCCAGACTTATCAAACGGCCTCGGGCCCAATTCATTCATATCCGACGGCCTTTGGCTAGATCATTCATGTCCAACGGCGTTTGGCCCAATCATTCATGTCCGAAGGCCTTTAGCCCAATCATTCATGTCAAACGGCCTTTGTCCCAATCATTCATGTCAAACGGCCTTTAGCCAAATCATTCATGTCAAACGGCCTTTGGCCTAATCATTCATGTCGAACGGCCTCTGGCCCAATCATTCATGTCCAATGGCCTTTGGCTCAATCATTCAGTATAACGAATACTCACTACAAGAAAATCAAGCTATAGTAGCATTTTTTATAACAGCGCCTCAAAAAATGCAGCTATAAAGTGGTTATTGTGACAGTCTTTAACCACAATTAAAACTTAAGTTTTTAGTCGCATTTATTTTCCAAACTACTGCTATACATATTTTTTTAGTTATATTTACAACTCAACCGCTACAATAGGTGAAACAAATAAGGCGACAAAAAATTTCTAATTTTGCGCTCAGAATTTCAATTCCAAAAAAAAGGGTTCAACCCTAAGTCGATCTATCTATACTTCTTATGCCCTAGTCTATCTATACTTTCACGAAGTAGCGCCAAGAAGTCACAGAGGCTTCCTGATTTCACAAGCTACAGCCCACCGGTGTATCGACCAGTGTATCAATGGTTCATCCTCCTTCGGTGTATCGACCGATGCATCAATGGTTCCTGATTTCAGGTCAGTTTGCTCTCTCTCTCTCCTTCTCTCTCTCTCTCTCTCTCCAAACACTCTCATAATGTACCGACATACCAACCAAATCCATAAATGAATAATCTATATATTTCATCCTCTATCAGTGTTTCTTATGTATGCTTCAAAATAAACCCAACCCAGAATTCATACAACTCCCAATCTTCCAGGGACCATAAAAACCCTAAATTTTTGCTATGATTTCATGTTAAAATCTTGGGTTTTCTTTGGTTTTTGTGTTCCTTTTACCATAATCAATGGCTTCTAAACCAATTCCAAAAATTTTAATCATCTTCACGTTGACTTGTACACTAACAAGTACATATTCTCTTCCTTTTGTCGTCTTTCATGGTAATTTTCTCATCATTCTATATGATCTCCTTGATTATTCATGCCCACAATATGCTCTGTTTACTTTAATTAACAATTCATTATTGAGAATTGAAATGTGAAGATCACAATGTAATGATTAAGTTTTATTGTTACTAAGTTGGTGTTGGACTGTTACAATTAGGTTGGTTTAGATGTTGGTTTGTTGGATTTTGTATATTAGTTGTTAAAGCTTCCTTTTTAGGATCATTAGCATTAATACAAACACAGAATTGCTTTCAAGCCACTATTATGATTTATATGGTTGTGTTTCATGTTTTGTGTGGTGATTTCTGTTACTATAATTAACAATTCAGTATTGAGAATTGGAATGTGAAGATCATGGTGTGATGATTAAGTGTTATTGTTACTAAGTTGCTATTGGAATGTTACAATTTGGTTGGTTTAAATGTGGGTTTTTGAATTTTTGTATTTTAGTTGTTGATGCTACACACATTCATGTGTCCTGTATGTGTTTGATAAAATGCCACAACAAGCTTTTTCTTTATTGTTATATTTCATTTTGTTTTAGTTTATTTATTTATTTATTTTTGAGAAAATTGATGTCCATTATTTTAATGCTTGTACACTTGTATAGTTTTCTTGGCCTAATAATGTGATTAGAGAAAATTCAACACTGAATTATGCCCCTTTTTTGTTGAATCCAAATACACAACTAACGAAGAACTTTGAAACATTCCACCCTTTTTACTAGTTTAGCAACCATCATACAAACCCAAAATGGCTTTACTTTCATTGGTTAGATGCACAACAAAGTGGTTCTAGGTAGCTAGATAACATAGTTAAGGTCACACTTGTCTCGGGGAAGATCCAACAAAAATGACTTTAATTTCATTGGTTAGATGTGAAAAAGTCCGGCTTAACCTCCAATTGGATTTCATTCTAAGCCTTTTGTTTTCCATAGAGAGAGGTGAGTTTTGGACCTTTTTTCCTCCCATAATATACAGCTTCTAGAAACAAAATTGCATGCTTTGTGAAGTCTCACTCTATTCTATGGCTGAGTTTTTAAACTAGGAAGTACTAAAAAAACATATTGATTTATTTGATTATTACTTCTCATGTCCTGGTTGCAACCAAAAAACAGTCTGCAACCCCAAAACCCAATAGCAGCTACCAAAAAACAAGAAAATAAAACAGAGCTGCCACCATCATAGGTCAATTGGAGATCAGGTTGCAGCCCCAAAATCCAGAATAGAACACACTTAGAGCTCCACATTTCCACCTAAACACCTTCTGATCTAGCTAAGGAGGAGAAGATAAAGGGAAGAAACAAAGAGGTGGTGACTAGGGAGTACATCATCAACCTCCACAAGCACTTGCACAGCTGGTACTAACCTATCTATCTATATATGCATTATAGCTTGTTGATTATATCAATTAATATATGAAGTTTGGTTCTTGGTAGTGTCGAATCAATTGTTAATGTGAAATTACAACATTATCAACTTGAGTTTATGTGAAATTATTAATGTTGTCTCATAGGGAACAGTACCATTTTGGAATTTAGATTTTTTTGACTTTGCAAAGATCAAATGGAACCCTTGTTGGTTTAGTTTACCCAAAAATTTCCACACTCTCACACAAAGATATATAAATATACATATATATATATATGTATAGAGAGAGAGAGAGAGAGAGAGAGAGTGAGAGGCATGAATTCGATTGCTTCACATTGTAATCTCTGATATATCCTAGTTTGTGTCAGATTTGTGCATATGTGCATAACAAGGTCACATGCTAGCCTAGTTTTTCAACCTTTATATTATACTCTATGTTACACCTTTTCCCTTTTTTTTTTATGTATTTATTATTCTTTTACACTTTGTTTCTTTGTAACACAGAGATGTTGAATTTGAAAAGTGCAAATGAATATAAATACTTGAGGCAAAGCAATTGCTATTCAATTTCTGGGGTTGATGATGCTAGACAGTTTCGCATTGTAATGGTATTTTCTTCTTGTCCTTGTTCTTATTATTATGAGCGCAGTTATAACCATCAATGAACTGTTGAATTTGAATGAACAATCCTAGTTATTGCAGTTTGGACATAGGAATCCATTCTAGCCCTCCTTGAGCCTGTTGCTCTTGAGTATGACCCCATGCACCTCAGTTCAAGGGTTCAAATGCTAGTGATGGATTGCTAAAATCAGACATGGCAATCCTTGTTGCAGTGAAGAGGTTTTGAAACCCCTTTAAAAAAATTACATTGTTGATGGTACTTCATGAATGCCATCAGCTGTTCTTATAATCAAATCAAAAATTTAGAAAACAAGCTCATAGGATTTTGGAAGAGGGAGAAGAACTATTAATAGATTAGATTGATTGTTGATATTTGCCGATATCTACTTGTTTCTCTCACTTCAATCCATTGTCTTGATGATAGCATGGATGGATTGATAAATTCTTCCCATACTTTCCTTTGTCTTTAAGCAATAAGTTTTATACATAGGTGGATTAATAAATTCTTCCCATTTTGAACCAACATAAATTTGGTGAATTTTATATGATAAATCAATAAATGGTGGGTTAAAGATTAGTTTTCTAGGAGAATGACTTTAAGCCAAACCTTGATTGTACTATTGTGGGTTAAAGATCTGGGCATTGATATTGTTTGAATTTTATGCATATTTTCTAAAAATGATAAATGAAAGCTCAATTTTCCATCTTTCCGGTATCTATGCTCCCTTGAATCTTAGGAATCTCTGGACAACGTGCTAGTTGAACTCTACAAGGTACGCACATTTCTTCAAATCTGACCTTCTCTATCACCATAGATATAGATGTTGATCTGATGTGAATTTTGTTGGTAACAATTAGGAGAATTTGGAAATGCAACTTTTGTGTATGGATGACTGGTGTGATTTTCATAGCATTTGGAAAGAATGCCTTTTTGGTTTTCGTGGCATTTGAAATATTGGATTTAATGGATAGGAAATTAAATGATTTGGCACTATTTATTCAAGGAACTAGTTCAAATTTAGATTTCATAGTTTACAAATGGATTTCAAGCCTTTTTTTGAGAACTTTGTCGTGATGAATTTAAAATAACGTTTTAGTAGCTTCTTGAATCTTCATGGTAAGGGGTTTTAGTTCTACAATGATCCTAATAAAAGAACTTTTTTTTTCCCCTCTGTTTTCTCTGTCCCATTTAGCCTAATAGTTATAGTTTGACATCTTGAATGCTCAGTTTAATTACTTGGTGACCAAGACAAATCTTTGAGTATACATCTTCATTTTATTGCAGAGATCTGGTAGAATTGAAGAACAGATTGAAATGCCTCAACATTAAAGTGAAGACTATTTTTAGAAGAACAAGTTATTGGGGAACTTGGCCTGGGCATACTTACAGCAAAATAATGTTTTGGATTTCAATGACTTTAATCCTTCCACTTTTGATAATGTTCATGAGTTCCTTGGACAAAATGTCTATTTGCAGCTCATTAGTTTAGTTAATGCGGACCCTGCTGGTGAGTTCTCATTCTGATCAATTATTTTACGTGCACATAATCCGATCACATAATCAAACACAACTTATTTCATATGGAGGTGGGACTCACATTTAATGGTTGCATCTCATATGAAAAAGTTGTGTCAAATTCTGTGATAAAATTGGGTGGACTTAGAATTATTCTATAAATTTCAAAAAATGTTCAATTTTATAAAGTTGTGTCCAATTTTGTGATAAATTGTGTGGCCACAACTACATTGAATATTTTTTGAGGGTAAGTAGAATTGTTGATGCTGGTATGATGCTCTCAACGATGGGTCAATGACCAAACCTTCCTGTCAAAAAAGGAACTATTTAATCACCACTATTATTTTGGCCCTAGAAAGAAACCATTATTGTATTTGGCCATTTCCTTTTCTTTTATAGATCATATGTTACCTATAAAATAAAATAAATATATTTATTAAAAAAAATAATAAATAAAGTGATCATATTAACTGTTATCTTGATTACCATTAATTATATAAGAACATAACAATAGGAAAAATTTAAATTTAATAAATCAATGAATCAAACATAACTCATTAAATGCATGAATCCCATCTATTTGACAAAATTTTTGTAATTAAATAATAAATGGTGATGATAGAATGGAGCAAACCTTACCTAACCATTATTGTAGAATACAATTTTCACCTATTCTGAAATAAATTACAAAATAAGTTGAAACATGTTAATATATTGGTGAGTGTTTTCGTTTTATTCATTTCTTATTTATTAATACGTTCTTATGATTTTTTTTTTCTTTTTGGCTTGTTTGTTTTTCACCTAAAAGTGACTACTCAATGCTATATTTTTTATGCACAATTTTAAAGTATAGGTGATATAAGCAAAGAGGTAAACAGAGTCAGAGTAGCCTAAGAGAACCAAATCTTGTGCATGTAACAAAGAGGTAAACAGAACTTTAGGTGATATAAGCAAAGACGTAAACAGAGTCAGAGTAGCCTAGTATAGGTGATATAAGCAAAAAAATGTGATAAAAAAAATACAAAAATAAATGGATGAAGAAGTGACTTAATATTGTGCATGTAACATTGGATTACAAGAACTAAATCTTTTTGCGATAACTTTGGTGTTTCGTCCAATCTGATAGAGTCAGAGTAGCCTAAGAGAACCAAATCTTGTGATGAGTAGATATTTGCAAATCTGGTTTTGCAAGCACATTGGGCTTCTTTTCTTCTTTTCCAATTTAATCTGTGTACTTCAAATATATTTTGTGGACTAGTTTCTAGTGTTGTGATATTCTTTTTGTGTTCATTTCCCCCAAATTCTTTACATAGTTTTCAATTCTGAGTTGCATTTCAGAAAGTAGTCTTAAAGATTTAATTATTTGGTTTTATGTGGTTAATTGATTGTTATTTGTCTATTGATTAGGTGTGTTAACTTGCTTATGTTATTACTTTCGTTATTAGATCTTTGAATGGGTTGGATTGGGTGGCTTAGTTCTTTCTACAACTATCCAAACTAAACAAAAACAGAGCCTAATGGGCTTCCAAGAATAATTCCCTCTTATTGGGGGTTAAACTGAATCTACCTTCTTAATTTGATTAATGATTACTCTCAAGAATGATAATACATACAAATTAGAAAAAGGAGTTGGTTCAGCTCAAATTTAATAAATCTGCTTGCCTAGGCCAAATCAACGCATATCAACTTTAACCCTTATAAAGAATTTTGATCTTGTTTGTTGAATTATGTCAAGTTTAATTGTTATGTCCTTTATGCATTTCACTTAAAATGAAAAAAAAAAGAAAGAATCTGAATGGTCATACATTCAGAGTATGGTTTCATAATGCATTTATATGACTAGAAAAAAAATATGATATAGTTGAATTTTATACACTGTTTGATTTGTGTTCTGTGTGCTTGAGAGTTGTTTGTGATTTGATGTATAATTTCTATATATACAATGACATTGCATTCATAGAGGTTACTAGTAAATTTGAGCATCCATTGTCTCATTATGCATGCAAGCAAGTGTGGCAGATTATTCTTTTATCAATTTCCTTTCTAAATTGTTAACTGGTTAATTATTCAACCTTTCTGCATGAGCATAGATAATACTATAGAGTCGTAATGATTGGAAACCCTCTTGTACTTTTAGAGGTAGTAATATTTATGACCAGAACACAAAATGCTTGTGTGTGTGTATTATCATTTATGAATAATTTTATAAGTCTCTCAAGCTTTCAATTTACTTTATTCACTTGTGGGAACAGGGTGGTCTTGCACATTGATTTTTATTTTTTGTGGAGATATTATAAGAAACTATTTTCTCTTTCTGTGTACTTTCCAACATTTTGATACAAACATTATTTCCACTTTATTTATTTATTTGGTTGCTTATTTGCAGTAACTACATGTTTAAGCTTTTGCTCATTGGAGATTCGGGTGTTGGCAAATCATGTCTCCTTTTGAGGTTTGTTGTAAGTTCTCCCTCTTTTACACAGCCTCTTCTTCTTCTTTTCCCCCTCCATTTTTGTTCCTTCTTTGTTTTTCAAGATTGCTTTAATTAGCCATGTTGTTTTGATGTGATTGTGTTATTTTTCAATGTTTTCTGGTCTCCAGACAAATGTGGCCTCCAGACAGATGCCAAGTTCATTAACCATTTTTATTATTTCTGTAATCAGAATGATTCATATCTGGAAAGTTACATTAGCACTATTGGAGTTGACTTCGTAAGCAATGTTTTTTATTTCCCTTGGTTTGGGTTGCTGATTACCTTAACATAGATTGTAAAGTTGTAAATTATTCTTATGTTCTCTTCTGTAGAAAATCCGCACAGTTAAGCACGATGGGAAAACCATTAAACTCCAGGTTTTAAGTTTTAAGTGCGTTATTAGTTTGTTCTGTCTATGAAAGCTGTAAATTTCAGTTTTAGCTTTGATTTAGTGTTTGATTGGGAATTTGTGTAAATAAGGAATGCCATATAAACATTTCTTTGCCATAGGATGGAAATTTTGCAAAAAAATATGCTTAAATTTTGTAAAAATTTGAAGGATAGCTTTATTCGAAATGAAATCCAGAGAATTCACACTCTTGAGATTATATGTTAATTATATGACAATTTTGTTTTTAGTCAAAATTTATTGTGATGTTTTCTTCAACATGGTGTCCTCTGTTTTTCTATAAACTGTTTTCTTGCTAACAACTCTCATCTTTCTTCTTTTGTCTGGACAAGCAGTGGGATACTGCTGGACAAGAACATTTTAGGACAATCAGTAGCAGTTACTATTGCGGTGCACATGGCATTATTATAAGCATTGAATTGTCTTCTTGTTGAGTTTGCTTTTTAATGTATGGATTTAGTCTTATTCTGGTGGTTTTGTTGTCAGGTTGTTTACGATGTGACCGATCAACAGAGTTTTAACAATGTCAAGCAATGGTTAAGTGAAATTGACCGGTATGCAAGTGAGAATGTAAACAAGCTTCTAATTGGAAACAAGTGTGACCTTACTGCACCGAAGGTGGTGTCTTATGAGACTAGAAATGTGATATAGTTCGTATCTTGTTTTTTTGTTCATTGATAGCAGATCTCTATTACTCATACAAGGACTCTGGATTTTAATGAGACTTTGTTTTTTATTTTGTTCAGGCATTTGTAGATGAAATTGGGATTCCTTTCTTAATCAAACAATGGACGTCATTTCTCGATTTGAACATTTTTTATGGAGGTCTTTATAAAATGGCGTCATGAGTAATACATTTGAGTACTATTGTCATGTGACAAGTTTATTTGTACCTTTTAGATTATAGTGTGGGCTATTAGTTTGCTAGAAATATTGGATCTATTTTGTATTACAAGCTTATGTAATGAACCCTTTAAGTAAGGTGCTTTGGATATTTTGGGATTATGATAATGCAGACTCTTTTACTTTTTACAATTATTGAGTATGGAGCCATTAGAATAAAATAGTGTTTTTATAGATATATAATGTGAGCAGGGATAAGTGAGAAACAACCATTAATGGTTAGCAAATCATTAAAAATTTCAAGCTATATATTATTGCTAATTGAATAATAAAAATAGCCTATAACCGCGGTTTATAACCGTCGCTATAAATAAAATTCAAAAAAGAATTCTATGGCTATAGCGATAGTGTAAAACTGATGGAATAGAGTCAAAATATAACAGCGGTTCACAATATGTCACAAAAGTAAAGGATATAGCAGCAGTCGACCCGTCGTTATAAAGTTAGCAAGTAATGGGTAAATTTAAGATATAGCGACATTTGCAACTGTCACTACATCGACCGTCGCAATAAAAATAACTATACCAGCGCTTGAATAAAATGTCACTATAAGGATATGCCGACGGGCCTATTGCGGCGGTTTGGCCGTCGCTATTTCAACCGCGGGTAAAGATCTTCTAGTTTTTAGCGATACTTTTTTCTGCTTTTAGCGGCAGTTTTGGCCGCTGTTAAATCCTGATTTTTTTGTAGTGATTTATCCATAATTCAAATCAACAAATCCATGGAGCTTATACAGAATTAGCATTTGAAAATAACATACTTGAAAATATCTTTACTATGATATTACTCATAGTGTTCTGCTGGTGGATTTGCCCTCGTGCTTGACCCTACATAATACATAACGCATATTGGGTCACAAGCTATTCAATCCGTTCCTAACTTATACATTCCTCTTAGGCCTCTTTCTTATCGTCTTGATTCATTTACAATGCTCAATGTATGCCTAAGAGTGCTTAGAAATAAAAGGGAATGGAAAATGAAGCACAAAACAACTTCTCAAAATTTCTGAAACAGGGCTACCCACTCGAGCACGGATTCTGCCGCTCGAGCAGACCCCTTTGGTCTGCAAAAGTACTGGTTGCCTCATTTTTGCGCTCGAGCGTGACCTCGGACGCTCGAGCTGAGAGTCAAAATATGTGGCTGGGCGCTCGAGCGTGACTCTTTGCACTCTAGCATATATCAATGCCTACAAAAGTTCTAGGAACTAACATTTTACGCTGGAGCGGTGATTTCCACGCTCGAGCGAACATGCCAAATTCTGGAATTTCCAGAATTGTTCTTGAAGCTCAAACCTGACATTCAAAAGCCCAAAACTCATGTTCTTGGTTCAAAAACGTGGAAACACATTATATATCATGAGGACATAAGCAATATGAGGCCAATTGTTCAAAATCATGATTTAATTCTCAAATTATTTAACATTCTTCTTGACATGGCCAAAGCTCATGCATTCTAACTTTATACAAACTCCATATCTCTATGGATCATTCATGCATGTGTAATATAGACCCCAATACCATTTCAAATGACACAAGTGATGCTTAATCTCATGAAGCTCAACAAAACTATGCTTGCACGTATGATTCAACTCTCAATTCTCATAATTAACATGCTATATGCTAGATTATGCAAATTCATGGCAATTCTCTTCATGCATGTACATACCAACTTCAATTTCATCATAATCAATTCAATTCATGTTCTTGATTACCATCTAATTTTGAATTCACAAAATTACAAACTCAAACTCATGAATTTACTCACCTAGGAGCTCCAATATTCACAAATGTAGTTAAATCTTGAGTTAATGTTCAAGATCGCCAAGCTCCCTGATCAATTCTCTATCTTGAGCTCCCTCTCTCTCTAAATTTGGAACCCTCACTCTCTCTAGAGTGTAATCTCAGCCAAATCATAGAAATGAGCTCCAAACCAATGCTCAAAAATGTAAATAGGCCACTTATATATGTTGGCCAAATCAAATTGATTAAGGCTAAGTAATTGAGCCTAATTTAATCGTTCTGAATCTAATTACTTTGATCCAAATGATTTTTCAATTAAATTTCACCATAGGCTCTAAAAATTATGCTAATTACAATGGCGTGGTCAATTTCGGTTTCTGTGGCCGATAAAGCCTTCAATTTTCAGTTTACAATGGCAAGTTTAACAGATTTTCCTACAGTGAACAGATAGAAATTCAAAACCACATATAATCATATAAATGGCACTCAAAATCACATTAAACATATAATCACATCATAATTAAGATCAATAAGCATAATACGGAACAGGGTTATCACACTTTCTTGATCCTTGAATTGATACCTAAAACGGGGATGAACACTCTGGTCAGGGGTGCTGGAATTAGCACTTCGACGGGCAAGTTAGTATTTTCTCAGGTTTTTCTTCTATCATAAGCTATCATTTTTTTTACATACCTTCCGTTTGGTTGATGCTCCTCTTTTTGTATATTGCTCTCCAAGGGCTCACTTTCTATTATGGACACTCTACCCACACAGCTGGTCCCTCAGTCGTTCCATAGGATCCGTGGCCTATTCGGCCCGACAGTTAGGTTCTAGTCAGCCACTGCTCTACTCTTCACCGACTTCTCAGCAATCTTGAGGGTACAACCTAATATGAGTCAACTTATATACAGCTCATATTAAACTCAGCACCCACAATTGCCCCCCTAAACACATCTGAGTATAGTCATTCTGATCAGCATATTTGGTTAATTGATACATTTCTCTTAGCTTCCATGTCAAAAACACCCTCGAAAGTCGAAAATATGGTGGTTTCACTCTTTTTGGAACTGATTCGTCAGAACAGACACGATATTTTAATCATTACAACTTCCCACCCCTTCGTATTTGACAATCATTTAATGTTCAATTTGAAAACTATCCCTCCGTATATTCTTGAATCAAAAGGCTTGCATCCTTCACGCCAACCTCCTTCAGGACTTCTTCAATTCCACTCCCCACTATTCATCTTCTTCTTTGACCTGTAAGTTACACTTTCTCTTCTCATTCTGTTCTCATTCAAGTCCCCTGCGTGTTTTGTTTTTTAGTACACATTTTGTTTGTATTCCATTTTAAATGGCAAGGTATTTGAAAACCCTCCTCTCAGAAGAGTGAATCACAGCCTTCCATCGTCATTTTTCAATCCCAGACAATGTCCACATATCCCTTGTTACAGACAGTGTGGTGGACATGGAGAGGGCTGACACAAACACCATTAACTTCCCTCTTTTGTCGATCGCTGAGGGTGGAGTCCGATTTCCTCTCCATCCTCTTCTTACGATAGTCTTGCGCTATTGGGGACTAATTCCCTCCTAGCCTAACATGAACTTCTACCGAATAATCATGGGTATAGTACAATTGAATCGCCGACTAGGTCTTAGCCTACGAATCCCAGCTATTTGGCACTACTACGTTATGGAAAAATCAACCGGTGGGCAGGGCCGTTACTTTCTGAGAGGCAAAGACGTTGATCACCACTTGGTGACCATGCTCGCCAGCTTTGGTAAAAAGGTTGATGATGTCATGGTCACCATTCGAGGCAATTAGGAATTCGGCGAGAGGAAAGATCACCAAGACCTAGTGCCGAGGTAAAAAGGCGAACCAAGTGGCTGACTATAATTGTTAGCATGCTTTAAATAAACAGTTTATTTGGCTCAAATACTGGGTGCTAATCATTGTTTCATGTAGGCAACGACTTAAAAAAAGCATTGACATTAGCGGACAAAGCCGTTTTGGAGCAAGTCAAGACAGCCCTTAATTACAAAGGCCATGTATAGACGTCCCCGAATGCCCCGGGAGGGTGAGGTCCCGTTCCGTTCGTTTTGTGGGTCTACTACAGTTCGAACTCAAATTGTCACGGTTCTTAATCTGAACCAAAGAGTCCAAATCTGGCAAATTGTTTTGAGAAAACGGATTTTTAGAAAAAGGAGTGCCAAACATGGACTGCTTTACCAGATACAGAGTCGCCACCTAAATATTTTATTTTGGGGAATTTATGAAACCCTGACTCGGTGCCAAAGGCCATGCGTCCGTCATCACCAAAGTTGCCTCGGCTCGGGAACTTGGGTACGATTGGGGAAGGTCAGCTATGAGCACCCCCTCTCGCCCGATCAAAGATCGGCCTCTACTAACCGTGATATCTTTTTCTGAAAGCATTATGTGTTCTTATTCTAGTTATTAGCCTAGAATTACTATGTTATGCGCACAGCAAACAAGTGTAGACCAAATCACCTAAATTGGAACAAAACATTTCATGTTTTCTTTGAAAATGGTTTGCTACTCGCAAGTAGGCTAAAATGCAGGTTTTGCCACCCTCAAGTGGGCTTAAAATTTACAGTTTTAATGCGTTATCCCAATTTAAGCAATTCGACCTCCATCCACAGGTATTCAAGAAGTTATATCACATAAGCAGCTAGCCTCATGGTAATCATGTAATTATGGCAGCACTCACACGCATGCGGTATGCTAAAGCGAAAGAACTTACAGAGTACTCCAAGCCAAAACAGAAACTAGTTAGTAATCATATGCATGATCTTAGTTCATGTTTAAAATGGCTAATGCAACACATGCAAGATGCAACTATGATAAGCTCGGCTAATCTACAATGACATGTGAAAATGCACAAGTAGCATGTATTCAAGTTAGATTTGAAATACCAATGCAGTTAGTATGATGCGCCGAGCCCGGTGCATGCAATACTGATGAATAATGCACACATGTATAACATAAGCTATGCTAAATTAAACATGTCCTATTACTAACCATCAAAGCAGGTAAGTAAAAGAGAGAAAGAAGTGGAGGTTGGAAGACATGCACACACTCACCCACACTTATTACAGATTTGCCCTCGCTCGGAGGGACCAAAAGAATAATACAATTCGAATAATGAATTAACTATCCTAGCTAATTAATTATTACAGATCACCTAATTAATTAACAAATTAACTAAGCATAAGAAAATCAATAAAAGGGGCCTCGGGGAGAGGGTCCGATGCGCGCGTGCTCGGGTCTTGCTCGGAAGTGCACTGCCATGCATAGACTGCCTCTGTTTTCCCTGCTCTGCTTCTTTGAAGATTGCCAAAGTCTCAGAATTGCTTCTCTGGACATTGGGAG